ATATATATATATATATATATATATATATATATATATATAGTTTGGCATGCGCCTCGCACGTGCAACGTGTAAAGTGCTGCTGCAAGACTGGGTAGGAACAAACAAACCGAACGCTTGCGGGTGAATCGACCAATGTGGTTGGGAGGTTCGTATATCTGGTTAGTTGCAGAAGTCCCAGTGGACTGGCGAAAGACGAAGTTACTTTCCGAATTGGGAAGGCCAGGACAGCGTTTGCTAACATCCGACATTTGTGGCGCTGACGCTATATCAATCTGTCAAGGGTGAAGTATGCAATGCCGCGGTCCGATCGGCCTTACTTTACGGATCAGAGACGTAGACGCGGCGTTCTAAGATCTCCAAAAGCTCTCCGTGTTTGAACATCAAAGCATTGCGTGGTCCTAGTGGTGACATCAGGTCAGCAATATTGAGGTACACCCATTGGTTTTCTCGAAAGCTCACTCGCCCTCGATAGGTTAGCCGTTCACGCTCCACAGGTTGCAATGGATAGGCCGTGCACCTTGTATGCCAGAGGACCGTTCACCTCGGAGAGTCCTCTTCTCCCAGCGAAGAGGCAGCGAAGTATGAAAGCCTTCGCCAGTCAGCTCATTCGCGTCGGTAACTGCTGTCTGCGCGGATGGGGACCGCGGGATGGGGCAAAGTAGTAGTCAGCGGCCTTTACAGATACGTTTGTCACTCAGCCGCGGTGTTATATCGAAGTATCACCTTCACTGCGTAGCTCTCACTCCCTCTCATATCAAACAAGCGAAACCCTTTGTCGCCAATCCACAGTTTTGGCCATCGCTTCCGACTTGTGGCTTTTATTTCCCTACTCGCATTATCCTCCGTGAACGAAGCTATATCAGCTGGAAACATTTTATCTCGTTGTACGGTTTGTGAGCGGAAAAACTGAGCGAAACTGTTATCTACATACACATGCATACTTAAGATATAAGCATGCAGCTACCGTGAGGAATATTTCTATGTAGGCCTGTGTAGGCTCACCGGTAGCGATCAGACGGGTTACATTGGCGTCAAGACTGTTGCGAAACGTAGTACTTATTGCCCAGATCGTCACGAACCGTGTAGGCGAATTGAAGGACTATGTGGCCTTCGGATGACAAGTACGCAAGGAGTGCTCGCCAGATTAGATTTCAAGCGGAGAATTATCTGAAGCTCTGAGGCACTGGTTGATAAGGGAGGAAAAAAGGCGGCAGTCCGGCGGTCTCGAAATCTGCCGAATGCAGTAAAATAGCAAAACTGACATTCTCTGAGTTCAGGAAACCGAGCAAGTGGGAGAACGCATGTGACCTTATATAGATTATAAACGAACCAAAAACCATTTAGACGGGCTCAGACCAAGAAATTTGTCAGTAGTACCATGTAGACAAATCTGATGAGGGTTTGGTTAGCAGCCTTAAAGTCTTGAGATAAATGGAAGTTTGTGATAGCGGTATCTGGTTAAAAGACAAAGTAAGACATCCTGACATATTTGGAATAAGACAGTGAAAGACCGAGTAGTTAACTGAACTCACGGAGCTACCTTGAATAATAGGGATGCTCGCGCTCGAATAAGGACAGACATCAGCCACATCGTTTGCATGACTGCCAAATATTACGGGGATTGATAGAAGGAGGTCGTGGCATAGAAACTGAAAAGAGGGTTAAGGTGAATGTTGAACTGCAGTGACGCTTATTGGGGATAGATTGGGCATCCAGGTCTGAATCGTATCCGATTCCAAAAATAGTTCAAAGCAAAGACACCCTCGGTGGCGAAATAAGTATCTCTCTTTCTAGGCTTCTGAGGGCGTCTGTGTGGTGCAGAGGTAGTAACCTTGCTATAATGTCACTACTGTCCAGCTTTGGAGCACTAACAGGCACGACCGGCTACAGCGTAAGACATTGAGTGGGATTGAGAGTAATTGGATTAAACGGAGATGAGAAATTTGAATAATTTGACAGGACTTATTGATACCACCCTCATGGAATCTGGTGACACAGATAGGTATGCACCCACTCTACGTGCATAACCACCGGTCTAGTCACTCGATCGGATTCACTCCTCTTCCCGCACAAACTGCTTATAATGGCTTCGTTGACAGCTGGCCATCAGTGGTGTATCCATTGTTCAAGGGTACATCCCTGTGGTGACGGCCAGGTGTATATGGTGAGTTCCATCTCCAAATAGTATAGTTTTTAGAACGATCACTGTCCGCGCCACCGCAGGTAGTAGCACAGGCTTTAACACTGAAACTACACTACCATAGTCTACTGAATGGCATAATGTAATTCTTGATAACTGTGTTGTTCTTTGCGCATTTTCCAAACTGACAAACGGTAGGGTTTTGTCGAACCTTTGGTAAGTAACTATTCGTAATTAACGCATTATCAACTAGTATAGATGCCTTTACACCTATTGGACCTTCTCATTACGAATGAAGCATAATGCGAAGCGCACCTTAAAAATAGTCGGAAGGGTGACGGTGAGTGAATGGTGGTGACTGTACATGCTGTTATTGGCATCGAAATCCAGGAAATTGTTACTCTAGCTGGTAGATGATCCTAAACTTCTAGGCGCTCATTTGGAAGTGTTCCATATGGTATCCGTTACAGCAAGGACGGTTTTTGCAGTACATACTCGTTTTTCATCAATTGTCTTCTATAAGTCCCACAAGATCGTCTATATTTATTATTTATTATTATTATTATTTTGCTGTTTCTTTTCCACCAGAATCAGTCGATCGTTGGTGATCCGCTGGAGAAACTCCTTGGCTTATGCAACCAATTAGAAGTCAAACCGTTTGAGGAATGCTTTGACACTGAGTATGTTTAGCTTTTCAGCGTTCTTATCCCCTAAAGGACTTTAGATGGGCTCGCAAAAATCGGGGAGGGAGTTTATGGTGAAGTCTTTCAATCCCCCAAAGGGCATGTGATAAAAGTGTTCCCCGTTGATGGAAAAGAGTTTGTAAACGGTGAAAAACAGATGACTTTTGCCGACGTCTATCCGGAAGTTTTTGTTTCAAAGTCAGTTTGACTTTATTCAATAATCAAAATACAGAAAGCTCAGTGAACTTGCCTATAAATACCGCCGAAATCGAGCAGTCAACTTCTCTCAATTAAAAAAGTAATGCCTATTTTTAACCAGATGCTTATTCCATTTCCAGGGCCACTGTCGTACAGGGATCCCTTCCCGAAGCATTCAGTTCGAGTTGGCGCAAGTTTAAGGCTCAGCGGGGTTCTGATAACGAATGTCCTGATTTCCTGCCACCCAGTCAACAGTGGATGGTGTTAGAATTCGAATTTGCCGGTGAACCACTAGCCAATGTTCGAGTAAGTGCTCTAGCTTCAAAAGGTACCACTTGATACCCATTTCAGCTTTGGAATCCCAGTGAAACATTGGCTGATGTAGGTGTACTGATGTGAGTTTTAGCTATACTCACTGTCGTTATCTGACCGCCACTTCTCACGCCCTTTCACAGTGGCCTTCGGTGCACAGCCTTAATCTCGTTCTACTAAGCAAACGACTAACCCTCCGTGTATATAGCGTTGTTGTAACCATGTTGCTTAATGCAATCTGTTGGGACAACTGTCAACCAGGCTAGTTTGTTGGTGGCTTTCGTTTTCGATTTCAGGGTTTTGCGCAGGCTGGATTTGCGTCCATTCAAAAACCGCAACAAATAGGCAGTGCATCTTTTATGATGTCAAATTGCAAGGACTCTTAAACTTAAAAGCAAGAAGCGTACAACGTTATTTCGAAGCGTGGTGGGCCGGACGGTTCAACACCCATGCTTGTGGTGCTACTCAACCGTCTTCAGCAGTTACGTCATACCTTGTAGGTTGTTCTTAGTTCAAAGGCCAAAAGTGCACTGTGTAACGAAAGACCGGCTGGTGCTGAGTGGTAACTTTACGAAAATACCTTCTTCATTCTGACATGTCTGTACCTCGAAGAAATTTGAGTTCCATACCTTTTCAGCGAAGTGACGCACTTCCCAATCCCCAGTTGTCGGAGCTGCAAACGAGTGGACTGGAGGTCGCTGCCGACTCAGCGACCGTTGACAGCTCTATGCTGGCTGCTGAAGCGTACGTGTCCCCATAAGCTTTGTAAGTCAGCTTACCACACGATTACCTAGTCGGTATATCCTGTCTTTCCAAAGAGCGGTTNCTGGACTCCGGGGGCTCTCTGGAAGCCTCGAACATGGGTGCACCATACTAAACAATGTGACATCGATGGTACAGCCCTTGCTCTCAGTCAACAAGTTAGTTCGATCCACTTTATTTAAGACTAGCCGTAGCACGCCATTACAGGGCGCTGGAACTGTTCTCTGCCTGTTCACTGCTGACCCATTTATCCATCATGTGGAAAATTCGTTCCGAGACAAGATTGATATTGTTAGTTGCGTCGTGGGTCTCGCGGACATCAACCGATTGCCGTAGCTATCAAGCTTCCAAGACCCCGCTGAAATAACCCCGACTGATAATATCAGAATCTTGTCAAAACAATGGCCATTTGTTTGTACGAAAAATCCCAGAGGTCCACCTCTTTTGCAACGTGTAAAGTGTAGCTACAAATCTGATTGGGATCAAACCCAACCTGACGCTTGCGGGCGTGCCAACCGACGTGGTAGATAAGATTTTTTACCTGGGCATTTGTATAAGTTACGGTAGTCTGATTAACTATGAGACTACTTCTCGAAGTGGGAAGGCCAGGGCAGGTTTTAACCTCCGACACCCATGGAGCCAAAGTGACGTCAGTTTCCCCGTCAAGAGAAGAGTTTTCATCCATACTGGTTTATGGATCAGAGACATGGCCTCTTCGCGCAGAGGACATACGATAGATGTCGGTGTTTAAACATCGTTGTCTCGGAAGCACGGCTTGGGTCTGGTTGAAACACCGGACTAGTGGTGCGGAAGCACGCCAGAGGTTCATATGAAGAAGAAACTCTCCCACAATAAATAATTTACTTGAGCTTCATAGACTGGGCATGTTAGGACATGTACTCCGTGCAGCAGAAGACCATCTGCCTCGCAGAGCTCTTTTCGCTGGGCCCTGTGCTGAGTGGAAGCGACCGAGAGATGGACGGTGTGATGTAGCAGCGAAGTATGGAAACACCAACCAGTAAACCAAGTTGAGTAGACAACTGCCGCCTCCCTGAATGAAGACCCCAGTACTCAACTCACTGTTGGTTAGTGAGATTTGCAGAAATGGCCTAATCGCGCATTCAGTAGCGCTCATGCATCAAAGCTATCGCCTTCAATGATTAGCTATCCAATTCCCTAACGAAACATACATGCTTGGGTGTATGTGCCACACTGTCGCACTTTCCGGTAATCGAAACTAGCGGCCTGAACCAACGTGCCCTTGGTACATAGGTTATGGCTGATAAATCAATCGGTTGAATTGATTCCCCCGGTGTTTGCAGTAACTACGACAAAAGCATCTCCGAGGGAGTTAGTGCACGAATTTTGAAGACCCGAGTGGCGTTTGTCAATTGACGTCACTGTGGCCTCACTTTGGAATGCCACCAGATGTAAGCGGTCATGCGTACCAGACCAGAGTACAGCCCGTGTTGTATTGTTGTGACTCGCTCTGTGTGGATACTCCGGGGCCTTTTCAGGTCTCCGCCTACCGATGTCTCAGAAAATTTGCTGACATTGTTTGGTGCCACGGGGTACTTAATTAGGTACATTTGATTCTGCCCTGTCGCACCCATATAAGACGTCATGAAGAGTCTGGACCCTCCCTTGGTGTGATGGTTTGTTCCTCCGTAATCCATTGAGCTCTGCTGGGCAATGCCCGTGTGACACTCGCGGCCCCTCATCAGGTTGGTCAGTAGTTTGGGGTCTGACCGACAGTCTCCCGGTCTTCCAGCTCCAGGCCAGAACATGTGTAGTAGCTTGTTCTTTAAAAATGGTAGTGGAGTGGCATTCCCTACCAAACACCGCTGCCTTATAGTCAGGCTTTTGAGCCAAAGGCTTTACTCGAGGATCCTAACCCCCTCTTGTCCGAGCGTGGGTGCTCGACAGCCGTCGTCTCAGAATCATAGCCCATTTAGGTTGATGCCGGCAAATTTGCAACGAGACGTGTGTTTGGTTGTTCAACATGGACTTCAAACTAGAAAATTGTCCTACACCAAAAGCTCTGATGTTTGGGCCATGTATTCCGCATGCCGAATAGTTGTTTACCGGGAACAGCGCTGTGTTATCTGCCAGATTCGAAGTATCACAAGCAGAAGTGATCGACTTTCGACCCTGCAGAGGGGAGTGAAATAGAATACGAAAATGTTGGGGATATCAATATCCCCCAAAAAACGCTGTATTTTTATGTGTGCTAGCGAACTTCCGGCATCTTCAAGGTCAAACTATGAATAAATCAATGACCTATTGATATTCCAAGAACTTCAAATCCGACCACTTACTTACACGATACCATCTTTTTTACTGACTTGGGTTCAGAAGCTCGGGATATCGCCTGTTGATCGCGTGTTTTTGGAGCATTAAAGTTTGTGTCCGAGGTTTTTCGTCTTCTTACTATCCGCCGTGCTAGGAGTCTGGATCAAGCAACATAGCTAGGGATAGAGTATTGCCACAATCCGCATATCATATTGTTTGCTCGCTGCGTGACCGAACCGTAACTGAAACAACCATGATACCTACGTCTAACAAACTCATGCCACATCGGCCGTCTCCTGGTGCCTTCAGCTGTAATAACCGTGTACTCCTCGTACAGTGGTTGTAGCTGCCGCAGTTTTGTTCGCCGATGATTTGGGGGGTAGGGGGTAGGTAACTCCGCATTGCAGGCGGGAGCTGATAAATTGGTGCATAAATCCAGCACTGTCAGTTGGCTGTCAAGTGGGAGGGTTGGAAAAGGAGCTATGCATTGGAGGCAATAGCTTGGGTGCACGAGCGCCATTGAGGGCGCGACTGGGCCATGTCTGACAATGTCTCTAGCCCATCTCGGAGTCCCCATCCAGGAAGACGGCAGTGGCCAGCGCAGCTGAGTTTGCCGGTAGTGGCCTTCACACTTCGCTGCCATCAGCCGGGTCGCCTTACTCGCCGTATACAGCAGGGTGGGTGAGCGAAAACAGACTAATGCTGACGCCTCCCTTCTTTCTGTTTCACATACTTTTCTCCCCCGTCTCCCCTTGTAGGCCCAGCACCTAGGACTAATGACTCTGTTCGTCTTGTATCGGTTTTGGGTGCAGCATCTGCTCGTCACATGGCGCCGACATCCTCAGGCATCTCCAAATCAATCTTCAAGCCTCGACCAGTCTATCTGGCCGCCTTCAATGTGCGCACTCTGAAGCAAGCAGGACAACAAGCTGCTTTTGCTCTTACACTGGACTCCCTTGGCATCGATGTGTGCTGTGTCTCAGAAACAAGAATTCAAGATGCAGGCATAGTGATTGAGCTAACCACCTCACCACTCCCCACTCCCTTCCGGCTACGCACCTCTGGTGATCCAGAGGCTGCTGCGGTGGGATGTGCAGGGGTTGGTGTCGTCCTGATCCACCGGGTGGAAGTTTCTTTGCTTGACCGGAAGTCCGCTGATAATCGCCTCTGTGCGGTTTATCGTATCTGAGCCTCAATTTTAGTATTCAGGGATTTTCCAGGCGCTATTGGACTCTGTTGATCGATTTGTCCTGCTTCGCACAGTTGCCCACCAAGGAATACCCCGCGTAAGGTGCTGGCAAATCGCTGGGTAAATTAGAGACTGGCAGATCCGAATGTTAAATGAATTTACCAGAATCGTCTTCTAGACTCTCCTTCAACTGCCCCAAAATCAGATGTTAATTCATACTGGGACAAGTTCGCCACATCTTTGCATAGTGCTGGAAGTGGGAGTGCTGCATTTGGTGTGGCCGTACCAAGCCCGCTCAAGCAATGGATACAAGACAGAACAGTGGTACTGCTTAAATTTCGGAGAAATATCCCAGCCAGCCCCGAACACAATTTGGCCCGACAAATTATCGGACGTCAAGTGAAAATGAGCGTGCCAGCCGACTATGAAATCTGGTGGACACAGAAAACCAAGAAAATGGAAGAGGCCTCTTCCGTCCCAGAAAGCCAAAAATGCCCCAAGATTATTTCTATTGATCCGTGCGACCGGTCCCCAGAAACTACCTGTGAGGTAAATCCTCAAGGATCAGAATGGAGTGACCACATTAAATGAAGAACCCCTCGACCGATCGGCCGAATACTTATGAGAAAAGAAGACTATCCCAGACAGCTAAGGGAGATTCGGTGATAGTGCCCATTTTCAAAAAAGGGACTCGTAGTGATTGTGGTAACCACAGGGGAATCAGCTTAACCCGGATTGTAACGAGGCCTGTAGGCGTCACTAGTACTTCGTCGCCTTACGGTGGCTCGTGAAACACTGACTCGAGAAGAGTAAGCGGGTTTCCAGCCTGGTAGGTGCTGAAACAACGCCATACGTATAAGCGACCCGCAGCTCTAGTGTTCCTGGATTTCACATGGCGCATTCGACTCGGTTGACCGGTCTGTTATTCTTGACACGCTTGCCCACCAAGGAATGCCCCGGAAGTTCGTGAACCTCTTTTGTACTTCCAAACTTCCGGACGTGTGAGAGTATACGGCGAACTCTCCGAAGGCTTCCATACACAAAGTGGTGTCCGTCAGAGATGCCCACTTTCCCCATTCCTGTTTAATTTTGAGATCGATGAAATCATTAGACGAACGCTGGATGGTCTCCAAACCCCCGGTGTTCAAACAGCCTGTGACGAGAACTTTGTCGATCTGGAATATGCAGACGACATCGTTCTCATCTACGAGGACGCGGAGAATGCGCAGGTTTCTGGATGAACTGACCAAAACCATCCTTTAGTTTACACTTTGCACCCATAAAGTGCAGGGTCATGCTCCTGGACATGCAGTCACTGAATACTCCATTTACCATCCAGGGAGAGGCACTGGTTGTTGAGCGTTTTACGTACCTTGGAAGTAGCATTAGTGTGACCGATGAGGTCAGTGCACGAATCTGTAAGACTCGGGTCGTGTGTGCTAATTTGAGACATCTTCGGCGCCAGCATGGTTTATCCCTGAATCTCAAGAGGCTTATGTATCAGGCTACAGTACGAGATCTTTCGTTATGTGGTTTTGAGACTTGACCTGTTCGAGCAGCGGAACTGGGACGTCTGACTTCATAATTATGGATATGATGGTCGCCTAGATGGAACGCTTTCTGGGACCTGTTCGGCGGAACTGGGACGTCTGACTTCATAATTATGGATATGATGGTCGCCTAGATGGAACGCTTTCTGGCCTTCACACCCCTACCTCAAATCACGATACTACTCAAGCTCCAGATCGTGTCATATTACAGTTGCTCGTAGTTCGACTGCTCCCCTATGGCTATCCTGTTATGATTGAACCTCGTGGAGCGAAATTCAAACAGTTTATCACATAAGGTCATTGCAGCATCCAAGCCCGATGGCGACATCAGTGTGACAGCTTTTGCCAACTGCTTGGCATCCATGATATATGTGAAACCATGCTCTAGCACGTACGGAATTTGGACATCCCGTCTACAGTTCAAGGAGTGTCGGAGATTGTGTATCTATTTTTGTATCTGGAACACCTTACTGCCGGTGGTGGTAGTGACTAATGAGGAAAATATCTGAATCTCAAACGCCAGAATCGCGTTTACCAGTTTGGTCATTTGTGGCCTCCTTAGGAAGACAGGAGCGTAGTTGTCGAAATTGGTCTACTACCCAACAAAACGAATGAAATCTTAATGGTTAATCGTAATTGAATCCGAATTCCGAATGGTTGGAGGTCCGAATAATGGATTCGACCCTGCTTCAGCCACAAATAATTTGAACTTGTACATCTCGCTCTTGTACGGATTTGTCACTATTAGTATACTCTTGCATTTAAGCTCCATCTGTGACCCGTCCCACATATCCGGAGTTGCATACGATTCATTGACTTCGACCGCCCCAATATAGTTCTTGGGATAATGTTAACAGCCGCTTGTCGTTGATGTTAGGCAGTAGCAGGAAGTCACTGTAACTGATTGCAAAGACGTCAATTCTCAAAAAGCGTATTATGCTCGGACACCGGTTGGTGCAAGCGGTGTGATCTTCAGCGGACTCGTTGCCTTCAGCAAAATCGTACAGTGTGATTTTTCCTATAATAACATGTCCTGATCCCAAAAAGCGTTCAAGAAAAAGCTTTGGTTTGTTCCCGGAATTCTCGTTTTATTTAGTAGAATCACTGGAATTTTTATTAGTGCACATCATTATTACTATTTATCATTGCCATTCCGAATCCTGCACTGGCGGTTCGAGTTTGCTTGTTTGAAACTGGTTCGGTACCAGTTTGTCGGACGTCCATCGTCTGTTTGCAGTTCCCCGGATTGTTTGTCTCTATTGCTGACCGAAAACTATGCTTGTTGAGTAGACAACGTTGGCTTCGGTTGACTTTCAACTGTGCACTGGGGTGGTTCGTCGACAGGCGTTGAGCCGAATTCGGATGGTTACTTACTGACCGTGTTGCCTTGTGGCTTCCCTCGGCTTTTACTTCGCATCTAATTCTTAACTTCCGCAGTTCAGAAGACGCGTGCCTACGTATCACCATCGAACGCGTTATGCTGCTTGCTTTTAGGTCACCGTCGGAGCGACGGTTACATGGAAATACGATTGGTTTATGGCGTAACAACTGTTATTGAGATCCAAGTTTTACTACAGGAATCCCTTGCTCTGCACTTCACCGTAGGTGACTTACAATACAATCGGTTGCCATTTCATTTTGTGCCGTAGAGATTGTTTAGTCCACCAGTTTACTTACGTACGCATCGATTCTGTCTTCAAGTTTAATACCTGTCGCGAGGCCCGTTCAGTGATCGAGCAAATCGCCTTGTCCTTGGCTGCTGCGGAGTCTGCACTTCAATTTGAACACCGTGACCTCCATTGGCATAACATTCTCGTCCGGCCCACACGACAGTGGAAACTTCGATATCGAGTCGGTGGGGTCAGTTATTCAGTTTTCACAGAAGGAATCCAAGTTACCATAATTGATTTTACTGTGTCCAGACTTTGTCACGGTGAGAATTTAACATTCTACGCTCAGTGTACGGAAATTTATTCTTGCCTCATTTCGTAACTTCTGTGGTCAGTGTATGCTCGGCATATTATTCCCACTAACGAACAGAGTACAGAACATGGACTCTAGTACAAGATACAATGAAATAACCTCGAAGTATCGTTGATCGTTGATGTTTATTGAGCAATTTTGGAACGCAGTTTGTACACTGGTGTATGCATGAACGAAACACTCAAGCCAGAGTCTTGGATTGACTATGGGTCGGACAACGGTGTTTCTGTAGAATTTGATGTGATTTCACAGTGCATGTCAGTGGATGTTGTTCATTCCTTATGTGGTCAGGTCAGAAAAAGTGCTAGAAAGTACCTCCTGCAGTGTTCCCCCATAGAGGTTATGTGACTGTACACCGTGGCACTAAACAGTTGTCTCTTCAAAACAGACACCCATGGAGTCCAACCCTCAAAACTCAGCTTTTTGACACTTGAATATTTACTGCACTTGAGTCCCACTGATGGCAAAGTAGCTGTTCATTGATTGTGAGTAAAACTGTGAGTAGAACTGTTTTTCACAGTTTCCCATCTGATATATGGGGTGTGATAAATGCTCGTATACACGCAAATCACAGGAATTGCAATCTCTACCGGTCTAGCGAGGGAACAAACTGGGGCTCCACAACAAGAAGTTCGTTCAACATTGTCTATTTGCCTTGTACACCTTTTCAAATGTAACTGCGTTTGGGATACCTGAGTGGTTAACCCGATTTGATACCGTCTAGCATTGGATGTATCGCTCAATACTTCGTCGCGCCATTGAAATCTACCGGAGCTGTCCACCGGGCGTGAATTTACTGACCGGAAGGTCCGTGGTTCGAACCTTGCCTTTGCCTCTCGACTTCCCCTGTCTAGGCTTAGGCAACTTGGCAGTATCCAGCCCTCGTTCAGCCTTCGGGTGGCATGGCAGCTAGGCAACGGGAAGGGTGTTACAATTGAACCATTTTTTGTCCACTGACAGCCGTACGTTTACAGGTTAGGTTGTGGTGGTGTATAATTGAGTTGATGCAAAAACGAATATCCTTGTGATACATCGCTTGATTAGTAAATAATAACATCCCCTCCCCAGAATGACTGGTCCCAGTTCCCTGTAGAATTCGCACTTTGGATTCCCTTAAACTTCTATTCACAGGTCATGCTCTCCGAATGAATGCCAATAGGCATTTTTGCGCATCCATTCTGTCTGTTGTCCCATCTGATTCTGGTAGGCTTTGATATGGTTGAACGACGTCGGCGATAGCTTTTTTCTAAAGACTTATAATCATTCCCCTAATAATGGACAGTAATGCGAGGGTGTTCTATTTAACCCAAATCGTTTTTAGATTTCCTGTTAACGTAGGTTATCATTTTTCAGTAACTCGAGTTTTACCGAGTAATGTGAGGGCGCAGTTTTTTAAGACGTTCGTCTTATCAAGATATGAAATATTGACAGTTTGCTCAACTAACAGATTGATATAAAAGTGTTAAGTTAGGTTTTTCATTTAGTGGTCGAGCTGAAGATAGCTCAGCGGCTAAAGCGCGAGATTAATGACCGGAAGATCCGTGTTTCAAGCACATCTCTCGATTTCTCTCTTCAAGGTTTGGGCAATCTGCCCTCGTGCTCCCTTGGGGTAGCATGGTAGCTAGACACCGGAAGGATGTTGTAGCCGAATGATTATTTTATTATTTCAGTTGATGGTCAAATTGCTCATTAAGCTCAGCAGTCTTGTTTCGGACGTTTCGTCACCACTCATGATGTTGTCATCAGTTCGCTGTGAAGAGGATGGTAGCTGTGCTTCTCTGAGTGTCTTCGTTAGCTGTGTGCGAGTTTATATGCGTACTTCTAGATGATGGGATTGCCTGTGGTTATGATTGGTGAACAACCACAAAGGCATCCCTGCATAAAACAAACGGATCAGGTGATAGGGTCATCTGCACAACCGGCCGGCATAGAACTCGGTACGAACCAGAGGTCAAGCTTAGAGGTCACCTAGACGTCAATACTTCAAGCACAAGCTGATTTCTTACCGGAACTACTAGTCATGATCGAAGGTCATCCTCCTTTCAGAAGTACGTATATGAATTCACACGCTGCCAGTCAGCACACCCAATAACACACAGTTCCCCTTTGCTCCTGAACACGCTGATGATGTCACCTCGATTAGTGATGAAGCGTTTGCAACAAGACTGGCGAGCTCAACCACCAATCAATTATTTCCAACACGAGATTTCCAAAGGACCCAAAACGACGGACAAAATTTTTGCACAAATGAGGGAGGGCTATATAGTTTTTGCATCTTTTCTGTGACAGGTTTTTTATAATGCGAATAGGATGGATTTTGAGGAAATGCGGTTACTTCTTCAAAATGAAAACAGTGTCGAAATTACTCAGCCATATCCCCAAACCTGACTGCATTGTCAGATAGACTTGCAACTGTGGTCACTTTTGAATAGCTTCCACCTACTCCTTCCCAAAGTAAACTAGTTTCAGGATAATATCAACTGATTAGTTCTTATAGGTTATTGTGAACAGCGGCACATCGGATAGCTGCGTATCTGTATTTAAGAGAGAAGCAATGTCACGGGCTGTCCCAATCTTGAACATGAATAAGCTACGTATGTAGCTTCTTTTAATGTGAACCGCTAACCTATTCACTTTTTACACTGGGATTGAAATGCTTGGTTGTCTTCGTTTTAGTTACTGACCGCTGAGTAGATGTTGGATACGTGGGTGGCTTTAGAACTCTCCTTTTTTGCTTTTGACAATTGTCTCTCAGGTTTACGACAAGCTCCATCAGGATTGACTATTTCCATCCGACAGGGCCAGTTTGTAAAGTTTCAAAAGGTTAAGTCACGTGAGGGAACTGGTGTAATTGGTTGAGGTGATCAGAATACCTGGTATACGCGGACAAAAAGCGGTCAGAATGAGAATAGGATTGATCAGTAGCAAACTGAACTATTGCAATAGTGAAAGAGATAGGCACAAAGAGGAAGAATACTAGTCGTGGAATAAAATATGCTTTATAAGCCAATCCACGTGACTAGTGTGATTGCAGTCCTTTTCATCTGTGTTAGTCACCGGATCACTCCAAGGTGACCCAATAAAATGCACGCGCTACTGTTGAAATGGTCGCAGTTCGACTCGTTCAGCTGTAGCACCCTTTCACTGCCTAACTACCATGACACCCGAAGATTTCACAAGGACTGGGGTACTGCCAGGTTGACCAAGCCTAGACGGGAGATGTCGGGAGGTAGAGGTCGGGTTCGAACCACGGACCTTCCGGTGAGTAAATTCGCGCTCTAACCACGACTATGGAAACCAACCACGGCCACAGCGTATTTATGTGTGAATACAAACCGTTTGTCATCGGAAACATCAAGGGGAAGCGTCGACCCCGCCGTTCCCATCAACCCCGGAATTAATCTAACTCCAGCACTAAACCATAAGTGACTCCACTTTTTCGGACGATTCTGTTGGCTGATGCTGTTGACTAATTGTATAATAATCTTGCTCTTTTAAGGATTATGCCACTTATAGGTGCTTTCGCCTAGTGAGATCATATCATATGGTGACAACATATGGCTCCTAACATACCATATCTATCGATCCACTGCATTGCTAATCGCAAGCTGTTTTTGAATAAATGAGGATCAAAACGGCTTATCGCGCAGCGTAAACTTTGTGTTCTGATGGGAAAACAACTTCGAAAGGAGTTATCGAGAATGACAAGGACGTTAAAGCTGTCAAGCTAGAATAAATTTTGGACATTTAGTTTCAAATTTTTAGGGTCGTTTCGGAACGCGCTGTTTGGTCTCAGTCACAAAATAACTCGTTCCATCTATTTATGTGGATCGACAGATACGGTCGATCGGTAGATTAAATCCGATGACAATTGATGTTCCTCTGGTGAAGTGAGGCGATCAACACAGTAGCCCTTCAGTCTACGACCAACTTGAATTTCCGGTTTTAATGCCTACCTTGTTCGCCACAGCTGATTTTACGGTTGAATCGGTATCCAAATAGGCCTAATACACCAACCTACCATGAAATACACGTTGGAAGGGAGTCTGCAGCAACATTTCTGGTCAACCACGATCCAGTGTTATTTCACTCGGACTGTGGGTTACATTCAAAGGTGTTCAGAATACCCCACTCCTTAATGATCTAAGAAGAAGATCGGTGATTTATGAGTCTTTTCACGCAGTTTTCCAGATCTGTTAAGTGGTTGTTTTCCCCCACACAGAAGGAAATATCGTCTACGTGGACATGGCAGATTCCCCGGAGATTTTCGAATGTGAAGGGGACTACCAGTTTGACATCTATCGCATCATGCGTGACCTGAACGGGTGAGTTTAGTTTCTCGTGTTCCATTGTTTCCGTAGCCCCCAGGTTACATTTCTGTTCCATCGTTTTCCACTGATTGATGAGCGACTATCAATAAAAAGGAGTCTCCTATACAAGTTGTTTGAGTTTAGAATATATAGCCCATGTCGAATGGAATCCAGTTAATCTTGCCAACCCGTCAATCCAATCGTACTAGCATTTACTAAGTCGCCTCAGATAAACGAGACTCGTGAACGACAGCCAAAACACATGTTTGAATAAATCTCCCCGAATTGGAAAAACAAGGGCCCAAACTAGGTCCAAGTTTAGGTTCATTTCCTCTCATCCTTCCGCTCTGACTTAGCTTTCTGGAAATCCCACTGATTGGATCTCCGCCTGCTCTAAAACTTGGCCAGCCTGATAACCTGTTCACCGGAACAGGCGAAGATTTCGTTCCGAAAGCGAAGCGCTGCGCACCAGTGTATCGACTGATTCTTTATTAATCCTCTGTAAGACTGCTCATCCTGGATACTCCACATCTTGGGAATCATTACGCGTCTCGGTCGTGATCGATGCTGATTCGAGTGCAGTGATCTTTCCTATAGGCACAATCCACGAAACTCGGCTCCTACGGGAAGTTCCCTGGTCGTTGGTCTGTTCACCTAGGGACTGTCCCTGTTTAGCTTGATCGATCGAGTTTGTAGTTTCATATGGCAACCGATTGACCCCGCGACACCTGCCTCCTTGGTTTTCATGTTTCTCATTTTTTGGTATATTCACACTGGTCAATATACAGAGAACCATGATACGCGAAACATGCTGTTTTTCCTCGAGGCTTTATTGAAGCTTTCCGTCAGCTTCTTTTGTGTTATCTTGAATTCAGTCTGCTGTCCTTTGTCTTGTGATGCTTCATTTTCCTTTTTACTGGTTAGCTGGTTGTTCTCAGACCAATTAGAACACGACAAATCCTGTGAGCTGTGGTGGTAGTCTTTTTCATATAGCAGTGTTGGTATGTTGATCAGCTGTCGCAGCTCTTCTGGTTGGATGTAGTCGACTACGGAGCGGGAGGTAACTCAGTGTTTAAGGCCGGAAGGTCTCTCGCTCGAACTTTATATCGGCACCCCGATTGCTCATATCTAAACTTGAGCAACCTGGCAATATCACAGTCTTCCTGCTTCTTTCAGCTGGCATGACAGCTAGGCATCGAAAGGGTGTTACGGCTGAAGATGCGTGTGTGAATTGAATCCAAAACTGGTTCCGCCGGCTTCCATTTCGCAACCGCGATTGATGATGCATGGTTTGTGTTCCGAAACAGGTGAAATTGGCGTGGTTTGTTCCACCTTTTTGTGTTTCTCATGAAGACAGAACCTACGTGATAAGCGACCCAAACCTGGGTCTATGTCGACACCTGATCAAGCAGGATTTGTCGGCGGTAGGCGTTAGCGAGGCGGATCAAAATTACATGGCATCATGCAGGTTGGCGTGCCATTTAGAGCGGCATACGTTGCCAATGCGATGCCAGGACGCACAGCTTGCAACACGTGGTTTACTAATGTACCATTGGCTTTCGACATTGCTGTGACCCTCTCTGGAAACTACCACGTGGCTTCTCTTCGGCCGAAGCACACAAAAAAGACCTTTGAGAAACATCTTATTCCCCTTAGTGTATCAACAGGAAATCGCCTAAACTGCTGACCGCACAACTGAGGTTTTACCGACCGATTTAGCCCGAAGTGTTTTCTGCTCCGACCAGTGGACTTAGATTAAACTACAGCTGATGTGCTCCAGGTCCATCTCAATTCGCGGAACCTGCCTTCTTGTGCAGAAGATTCAGTCATCAGTCACACTGACCACTGTCCAGGCGGCACACTAAAGACAACTCATGGGGTCAAACTTGGCTTCTGAATAGCCCAACTGTGACCAACAGTGTCCTTGTTTCCTGTTTTTGAGAAAAGTGGTCTCTGCCAGAAAAAATTGGCACGTGTTTTGCATTTTTCTAAGTAGTCCGTTAGTGAAGTTCGAGGGACTGGGACTTAGTGGTAGGTAGTTGAACACTGCGTTTGGTGTTGATGTTCAACTAGCACCAAGCTCCAAATAGCTTAGCAGTTATTGGTCAACGGAAGTTCCATCCATGGTCTTCGATTGCTCCTTACGTGTGACTAACCTGGTGGTATCACAATCCTCGTGCTTTGTTCGATTGTCTTGTCAGATTTGCACCGAAGTGTTGCCACTGTTCAACTGAGTGTGATGCAGGGCGAGCAAAACGGTCAGTCCTAGAGCTGGGACCTGCGGAGAAAGTATGCAAACTTGGGCTGGGGAGGGTAGAAGACGGAGAACATGGAAGAGTAGGAAGGTAGACGTCAGCAGTAGCATGCCTTCATTTACCCGCCCTGCTGTATGCAGCAAGTGAGGAGACCCAGCTGATGGCACCACGCGACGGCCGATGTGGCATGAAATTATGTTAGTTGTGTATGCTATGGCTGTACGAGGGCCAGGGCGCCCACACCTAGACAGGAGGACGATTAGGGTCCTCAACCAAAGCTTTTGGCTCAAAAGCCTAACCGCAGGTTAGCGGTTTTGGGCTGGAAATGCAAGTAAATTACCATTTTTATGGAACACGTCGGCACACCTGCTCTAACCCCCAACCTGGGGGTTTGGGAGACCGTGTTCGTCAGGTCTCTACCCATGGACCAGCCTGGTATGAGAGATTCTGTGAGTGTCGCGCAGACACCCCCCAGTATAGCTCAATGGGTCGCCGAGGTACACAAACCGCCACACCGTGGTAAGGTCCAGTCTCTTCTTGACAGGATTTTAATATAAAGTCACTGTAGTATAGTGTCAATTTGTTCCAAAAGCGAACCACTCGAGGCTACCCGTCGGAGCAACGCACTCTTACAAATAGCCAACAGAGTAATAGATTGGTACGCCCTGTTTCCTTGGCTCTTCACCGGTTACTGTCAAGTCTAATCTAACTTTCAATCCCAAGATCACAAAGGTTCAGACCACTAATCGCTATCGAGCTCTTAATTGGTTACAAATTGGCCGTTGTCTTTTCGATTATGGATAATATGGTGATGTCACCTGACACCTGTAACTTCTCGTTTTCAACACCGTTCCCATTCTCCCCAGGAACGACTGGCGCCCATTCCATCCTCTGACAAATTTATACTGGCTACACTACCTCATGGGGAAGTTGCTCAATGAAACTTCCTATCCACGACGTGATCCCGATTCGCAACCTGTGGAATCTGAATTACGCGCGTTGTACGACATGGTCCTGACGAGCAACTACAAGTCCGCCATGGAGCTTGTTAGTTCGAGTTTCTATTTTGACACTTGCCGCATCGGTTGAACCAGTTCCGCTTCTTTTCGTCTCTTTTGACTCGAAACTCCCATGTCGGATCGTCTGTTTCACAACGTAATCCCCATCAAATCTTTTGTCTGTACGTTGCCGTACACCCCTCGGCGTCGTGAAATCCCAGTGGCAGACAGTCCGATTCGACGTACCTAGATTATTCTACTTCTCTTTTTAGAACCGGTGTCTCACTTTCTTTTTGTCAGGTTTCACTGATGTTGGTCCATTTCACTGACGTCTGTGCATTTCCCGACAGGGCGCCTGTCGCTTTCATGGTTCGATCAGTTAGGGATAAATTGTGGTGATCGCTAGCGTATTCTCACCGTGTTCAATTGTACGTTGGTAATACACTGTTCTTCCATTGAACTCCTATTATCGTTTTTCTAGAGGTGTAACGTGAAACGACAGTCGAGTTTTGCGTGTATTTCTGTCTTACCTAGCGCACATCCGGTAGTGCACACTGCGTGCCACATTCTACCTCTAATGAACGTTTATTGATCGGTTGTGTGCAGTGACTGATCTCGCTGTGCACTTCAGCAATGTAATGAGCGTGCATGTGATCGAAAGAATATCTGCTATTATCAGGCTGCGTATAGCATATTCATGGAGAAAAGTTATCGTACTTTCCATAAAGCACTCAGGTCACACTACGACTTGCGACCATTTCGTTTTCAGTTTTGCCCGTTGGCTGACAGTCACCTGGGACCTCAGTTTAACTACGTTTAACTACTTCGCCAATTCTCGATCATATTTGAGCCACCAAAGTCTTCAATGATGTTGGCGAAACAGTACGTACTCACAACCTGATCGTGTACCACCTTTGAATCAAGGGTTGTCTTTACTGAGATTAGATTAGAGATGAAACGTTACTACGTGTCCTTTGAATTTGCTTCACCGTCCAATCCTCACTTGCGAGTTGTCTTTCAGTTTCAAATCTGTGGTTTCGTCGTCACATACGATTTGAACTGATACATGTGTTTTACGGAACTAACCATGACCACAGGAATTCACCTTCTCATTCAAACTCATCCGTTATTACCCGTTATGCCTGGCATCACAGGTTATCTATTACACTGGTTTCTACGACGTTTCTTCCACTTACTTGAGATGAGTTTTATATACTGGTCGCTTTTCGTTTGTAATTGCCGACGTCGTTGGTGTCAGATGTCGAGTAACCATCAGGTGAGATACCGGACACCCAAGGCGGACAGCTGTCGTTGACACCCGCATTTACTTTGCGTCAGCCCACTTTTTTGTGGCTGGTACATTGTTGTGATAACTGGCTTGAATTTGGTAAAGACGAGAATCTTATTAGAGGTTCGGGTGTAAATTCTTACACTGTTTTGTCATATTTCGGTGCCAAATGTGTATTTGAATAGCTGTTTTAGGTATGGTTTTCTCCCCGGTTATCGGTAACCCTCAGGTATATTTTTCGCTTTTATGGAACTTTATTATATCTCGCTGGGTGCGCACAACCGACGAAAAGCCAAATGGAAGTGACCTCTTTCAAGGTTGTCCTGAGCGTTTATGAAGGCTTTAAAGAATTGATCGAATGTTTTTTTCTCACAGGGGAATCATATCTAAATAAGACAGTGGACAAACCGTCGGACCTAATGTCCCAAAATCCACTGCTGTCCACTTTGAAAACTAGTCAGCCTGTAGGGTAAGTTAGTTGGCCTCCAACGGTGTTACGCTATTACTGCAGTGGTTCCGAAAGGTTTGAAACTATCAGTTCAACGTGTATCATATCATCAAATCGAGCGCTAAATTGTGTTCTGGTAAGAAGCGACGACAGGTATTCGTATAGGGATGTTTTCGGTGCATACCGCAGACGTGGAGTTATCTTAGAAGGAAGAATTTACCGAAAATTTCCGAGCAGTTATATGGATTCAGATACGTCGTTTGATAGTGGTGGTGGTGATAACATGACGCTGCATCTTCTCGCCTCTTCGCGTGTCCCCAGAATGATCCAGAGTCACCATGAACCTTGATCACCTGATTCAAAACCGAACATTCAAGAAAAGCGAATTTTTGACTTATGTTAAACTTCGAATAGGCTTTCCTGTAAGTGGAGTCAGTGTGTGCTTAAAAGTCGAGAAGCACTGTACCACTGTTTTATCCATGACGGAAATTATCAGCAGTACGCATCTCCCAGAAATCCGGGAAGTTTCGAATCCACCACCTTTTGGTTAGTAGCATGAACACGAGCGGCCGATCAGCATTATGAATAAATCGCACCAGACGGGATTCGGAGGACATCATCATTCACTCATGGGGTCCACATCACGTAGTCACTTGCTAACTGGCTCCTGGAATGACAAATATGCTAATTTTACTCATCACCTGAGCTACCTATAGATTGGTGGCAGTTATGCTAAACTTACATTTGACCGTCGATCCAAAATCCCAACTGTATTCCGCACCAACCGGAACAGCACTTTTCCAATATTTTCGGTATGCTTTTAAGCTTACTATGTAGTGACGCTTTATCGTGTGGAAATACAGTTTTGTTACCCATCAGCTTTAACTAGGGCCTCAATTCGAAAGCCTTGTTGGTCGGACACGTGAATTGATCTCTAAGTCTGTCAGGGTTCTTGAACGTTTCAAAGCCTCATTGGTTTACTCGTCACCAGTACAGGAAGTACCAAATCGATCACAAATGACCAATCCGCCATAAGCATGTTGACGCATTGAACGAAATAAAGAACAACCCTGGCCTAGTCTATAGCGGGCAAACCAAAGGCTCACGGGATGAAGGCAGGTCTTCACGAGATGGTGTCCAGAATGACCGAACGAACGGGCTGAATGTAAACTGCCCCTCAGTGGTTCAGTTGTGCTCCGTTAGTGTGAAATACCTGAAATCCATAGAGCAAGACTTTCTAATTGTTCGTGGCAAGATGGCCCAAGTGGTTAGAGCACCAGCTTACTGACCGGAAGGATCGTGGTTCAAACCCGACCTCTGCCTCTCGACTTCCCCTGTCTAGGCTTGGGCAACCTGACAGTATCCCAGCCCTCGTTCAACCTTCGGGTGCCATGGCAGTTAGGCACCAAAAGGGTGCTACAGCTGTGCGATTTTCTCACCAATCGTTCCTTTAGGCAGTTCTCTTTGCCCCGTCAGAGCTCAATGGCGCTCAAGTTTTTTTAGCCTGTCTGTATGACAGTTCGTGAACCTTATGAGGGAGTAATATCAACCGTAGAGCCATACTTTCAATTGATGTCGTCCCCTTGTTCAGTAACGTACATCTTCCGGAAAATTCCCTACCTGTGCCTACGTATGGAATCCATAGAGTTTATGCATGCCAGCAGATGAGTTGAAGGAACTTGTCTTACATTTGCATCTCTACAGTTTCTCTATAGTGACTCACTGTCACCAAAGGCCGGAGTATTTATGGTGGGACCCATAGGCTCCTTACTCACTTGTATTTACATGACTAAACTTCAGATTGAGGACCCGAAGTCTTCGAGTACATAAGGCCTTTCTGAGCCAAGTCCCTTCCCTTCGATTCTCCTTCTACCCCATACAAGAATGTTTCCTGGTAGCTTTGTAGTAGTTGAGTAGCGTTAGTTACCACTGTCTATTTGATGCTGTGGATGACATACAGCAGGCTGATGGTCTGTAAAACCACTACAGCCTGTTTTTGGCGCATCTTACCAGTTCGATGCAGTAATACCCAAAGAAGAATCTGACGTTGCTGAATTAACGAAATTACATTGCAACTCAGATGCCATTGTAACTTGTGGCGCCATGTGCTTATCCGGTCTGTGTTGTGTAACATTTCAGAGAGAGGACGAGATTGACCAAGTGCTTAGAGCGCAAATTTATTGACCGGAAAGTCCGTGGTTCGAACTCGACCTCTGCCTCTCGACTTCCCCTGTCTAGGCTTGGGCAACCTGACAGTATCCCAGCCCTCGTTCAACCTTCGGGTGCCATGGCAGTTAGGCACCAAAAGGGTGCTACAGCTGTGCGATTTTCTCACCAATCGTTCCTTTAGGCAGTTCTCTTTGCCCCGTCAGAGCTCAATGGCGCTCAAGTTTTTTTAGCCTGTCTGTATGACAGTTCGTGAACCTTATGAGGGAGTAATATCAACCGTAGAGCCATACTTTCAATTGATGTCGTCCCCTTGTTCAGTAACGTACATCTTCCGGAAAATTCCCTACCTGTGCCTACGTATGGAATCCATAGAGTTTATGCATGCCAGCAGATGAGTTGAAGGAACTTGTCTTACATTTGCATCTCTACAGTTTCTCTATAGTGACTCACTGTCACCAAAGGCCGGAGTATTTATGGTGGGACCCATAGGCTCCTTACTCACTTGTATTTACATGACTAAACTTCAGATTGAGGACCCGAAGTCTTCGAGTACATAAGGCCTTTCTGAGCCAAGTCCCTTCCCTTCGATTCTCCTTCTACCCCATACAAGAATGTTTCCTGGTAGCTTTGTAGTAGTTGAGTAGCGTTAGTTACCACTGTCTATTTGATGCTGTGGATGACATACAGCAGGCTGATGGTCTGTAAAACCACTACAGCCTGTTTTTGGCGCATCTTACCAGTTCGATGCAGTAATACCCAAAGAAGAATCTGACGTTGCTGAATTAACGAAATTACATTGCAACTCAGATGCCATTGTAACTTGTGGCGCCATGTGCTTATCCGGTCTGTGTTGTGTAACATTTCAGAGAGAGGACGAGATTGACCAAGTGCTTAGAGCGCAAATTTATTGACCGGAAAGTCCGTGGTTCGAACTCGACCTCTGCCTCTCGACTTCCCCTGTCTAGGCTTGGGCAACCTGTCAGTATCCCAGCCCTTGTGACTCCGTGTGGCATGGCAGCTAGGCACAGAAAGAGTGCTATAGCTGGACAATTTTTTACTGCATAAAAACCGCCTGCGGTCAGCGCACAGCTAAACTACCCGTTCGCCACACTCCGTACCTACCGAGTCCAGTCCACTTCGACCACCAAGTTGAATCTCAGGTGCGCTGAGCCTCGCCACTTGTACATTCAGGTCGCCAGCAACCACAACGATATCTGAGCTTTCAGCTAGCCGCAACATGGTATCCAGTGCCTCCAAAAAGCTTGTCTTTGATAGTGTCAGAACTACAGTCGGCTGAGGCGTAAATAGACACGACAGAAAGAGATCGATCAAACTGTCGTTTGTCAGATTCCACAGATTTAGACAGGTGCACCGCATAGATGCGACTATCAGCGGATATCTAGTCAAGCAGGGGTCCTTCCGCCCAGTGAATTAACACGATACCAACCCATGGACATCCTGCCGCAGAAGCACAGCACAAATCATTGTCAAGCGAGTCCACTGAGGGTATGAGCAGCTAGCTGGTCTGATTGTTTGAGAATGCGGACA